TTGACATTTGGATCTATCGGAATGGCTTTTTATAACCAATATAGAGATGTTAGGTACATATAGAAAACCATATTGGCATTTGGATCTACCGGAATGGCCTTTTATAACCAATATAGAGATGTTAGGTACATATGGAAAACCATATTGGCATTTGGATCTACAGCAATGGCTTTTTATAACCAATATAGACATGGTAGGTACATATAGAAAACCATATTGGCATTTGGATCTATTGCAATGGCTTTTTATAACCAATATAGACATGGTAGGTACATATAGAAAACCATATTGGCATTTGGATCTTCCGGAATGGCGTTTTATAACCAATATAGACATGGTAGGTACATATAGAAAACTATATTGACATTTGGATCTACCGGAATGGCTTTTTATTACCAATATAGACATGGTAGGTACATATAGGAAACCATATTGGCATTTGGATCTACTGGAATGGCTTTTTATAACCAATATAGACATGGTATAGAAAACCATATTGGCATTTGGATCTACCGCAATGGCTTTTTATAACCAGAAGATTGGGACAAAAATAGTCAAAGTGTTTGAGTAAAAACTGAAAATTTTGTCTGTTGGCTCCAAAATGGGGTTCATTTATAGAAATATTGAAGAATATAAGAAAAAAGTGCAGAAAAATTTGGACGAGAAAGTCTGCTGGTGAAAAGGTTAAACAATCTCCACATGTTCCGTGAGCCACTCTTACATCGTTAGTTTCATCTTGTGTGGTTCAATCTCAGATACATGATTTGATTAGATACCAATACATTTAAGTTATTTTCTTCAGACATGGTTGCTGTTTCAGGTGAGACGACTGGCTATCCAGTTATACCACTTATTAAAAGAAGAATGATGGCTGATCCTGTTGGAAGACAAATTCTAAGGTAGGTTTTGCTTTTCAAACACAATACATCACCTATCTGCTAATAGACTAACTCAATGCATTGCCTAACTCAATGCAGTGCCTAACTCAATGCATTCTCAAACTCAATGCATTCCCTAACTCAATGCATTACCTAACTCAATGCATTCTTAAAATAAATGCATCACCTAACTCAATGCATTCTCAAACTCAATGCTTTGCCTAACTCAATGCATTCTCAAACTCAATGCATCCCTAACTCAGTGCATTCCCTAACTCAATGCATACTCTAACTCAATGCATTCCTAACTCAATGCATTCTCGAACTCAATGCATTCCCTAACTCAATGCATCACCTATCTGCTAATAGACTAACTCAATGCAGTGCCTAACTCAATGCAGTGCCTAACTCAATGCA